GTGGCCCCTCCCACGCCGGGCGGCCGGTCGGGCACCGCTGGGTCCTAAAGAGCACCGGCAGGTGGTGAAAGTGGAGGCGGGCGCAGAGATGAGGTAAGGGGTCGAGGGTCGCGGCGAGGCCGCTCCGCCCTCCCAGTGCGCGCTGCCCCACGGGCCCAACCGGCCTGGGTTAGGCAATACCTGCCTGGCGGGGCCGCTCCTTCTCGGCCAGGTGCCCACGTGGACGCGGCTCCACCTGTCCCGCGGCGAGTGGTCGTGTAGACGCGGCGCGCCGCCCCCGAGAGCGGAGGATGGGGTCCTGACGCCGCCCCGGGGACGACCCCTCGTGGGGGTCTGGCGTCCGGTGCTTCCAGGAGTCTTTCCACCGTCCATTGTCTGACCGGGCCTGTGGGGCTCCCTGCCTCGACCCAGGGGATACCTGACCAGCGGCGCTCAGAAGTATGCAGAGGGCCGGGGAGTTCAGGCCAGGCTGGGGGCCGGGGGCGCTCTCCTCTGGGGAAACGAAAGCCCACCATGCCGCCTGGAGCCTCTGAAGGCCCACCTGTCTCTTCCGGCCCAGGCCAGCAGCAGCCAGGACTGGCCTCCCCAAATGAGTGAGATACTGAAGAAAGTGCTGGACGTTGGACTCTAATCTGCTAAGTGTTTCATAGCTTTATCTCAACCGCACTTTCTGTGAGGTGCGTCAATATGTGCCCGTTTACACAGAAATAGGAATTGCTGGTTGTCACCTGACCAAGGTGAGCCCCCAGGGCCTCGAGCTCGAGGGAGAGGGAGGTGCTCAGGACACCGGTGCTGGGGGAGGGGTGGACCTGAAGCCCAGGTCAGGTGGGAGGGGGGCAGGGAGGACCCTGTGAGAAGACCTCCCCCCGCCCCGCCCCCGACCCAGGACCTTGTGCGGGCGGGGCTCAAGGCAGAGAAAACCAATTGCAGGCCCTAGATTCTGTCTACAGAATAGCTCCCCTCCTGGCTCCCATCTCCACCACAGCAAACCCAAAGCACCCCAAAAGGGAAGGCCTGGTGGAGGAGAGAGGAGGGCCCCAGGGTGGGGGTGGGGAGATACCTAATCAGCCAGCCTCCTACCTGGACAGTTTCGTGGGAAATCATAAGAACAGTTACCACCTCACTAAGAGCAACTCGCAAACAAACCTGGCGATAAGGCAGGCCCTTGATCAGACAAAGAGTATCTCTCACTCTCCAGACGCTGAGGCCAGTGTATTTCTGAGTCATCACTATTCAAAGCATCCACCAGAAAGACTGAGAACACAGCACCAGCAATGTCTAGGGAAATGAAACACACACACACACACACACACACACACACACAGAAGGACATCCAGGCCAAGCTGGGCTAAGAAACGTAGATGCTCCTCCTCAGCCAGATTGTCCCCCAAGCTCTGGAGCCTCCAGAATGGTCTACTCTCTCTCTTCTGTAAGCAACAGAGTAAGAATACAGGCTTCCATCCCATCTCACTGGAGCACTGGGGTCACAGCATCTGGCCCTGTTTGTCCTGGCAGATGTGGGCAAACAGGTGCCAGCCCCTGGCCAGATGCCACTCTGGATCCATCAGTTGTGCTAGTTGGAGGACCCACACTAGCGAGCACCTCCAGAGTCCAGCCAAGGGCATGCAGTCTTGCATTCTTGGTCCAAGGCTTCACCTCACAGAAGTGGCTTGTAATCCTTTCAAACCTGTCTGGAATCAGAGGGGCACCTGCTGGTCCAGAACCATCAGTCAAGCAGAAGGAAAAATGGCTCATCTGCAATGCTGCATGTTCCCTGGCTGCCTGCATCCCCAAACAGAAAAGAAAAAAAAAAAGCCAACCAAGCTGTGCTAGGCTCAAAAATAGCCAACTATCATCTACTAACCCCAGAACCTGTGAATGCTACCTTATGTGAAAAGGAAAAAATTGCACATGTGATTAAGTTAAGGATCTGGAGATGAGGAGGGGGCCCTGGATGACACAGCCCCAGACATCAGTGCCATCACACATGTCTTTGTAAGAGGAAGGCAGAAAGAGACACACAGAGGCTGCGTAAAGATGGAGCAGAGAGATTGAAGACGTCGCCTGAAGTTGGAGGGATGCACCTACCAGCAAGGAACGGTGGCAGCCACCAGAAGCTGGAAAACCACAGAATGAATTTTCCCAGGAGCCTCTGAAAGGAGCACAGTCCTGCCACCACCTTGATTTCAGCCCCAGTAAACTGATCTCAGACTTCTGGCTTCCAGAACTGTGACAGGATAAATTTCTGCCACACAACCCAAGCACGGGGCACAGTCTTTCATTTCTGGGGGGAACAATTTCTGCACTTTTTTGCCACCCAGCTTGTAATTTGTCACAGCAGCCACCAGAAACTAATACGGAATACTTAAAGTGATGGAGAAACTCCTCCTCAGGAAAAAACAAAACCAAGGGAATTTATTGCCAGCAGACCAACCCCATAAGAAATGTTCAAAGGAGTTATTTAGGCAAAAGGAAAATTATACCGGGCAGAAACTTGGATTTACATAAAGAAAGGAAGTGGCCAGGAGAGGGAATAAGTGAAAGTAAATCTTTTTTTTCTTATTCTTAATCTAAAAGAATACTGTTTGCTTAAAGCAATAAAGTAGCAATGTACTGGGTGATTATAGCACATGAATAAATGAAATGAATGACAAGGGATGTAAGGGAGGAAATGGGAATATTCCCTTATATGGTACGAGCACTACACATGAAACCGTAAATGTTATTTGAAACTGAACTTAGATAATTTCAAAATGTATATTATAAACCGTAGGGCAACCACTAAAAAGGTTTTTATTAAGCACAAATAAAGACAGGAGATAAAATGGAATCATATAAAATATACAGTTAAAACCAAAGAAGGCAGAACAGGAGGAAAAAGAAACAAAGAATAAATGCAATGAATAGTAAAGAATTTTAATGTGGTAAATTTTAATCCAACTGTATCAATAATCACTTTAAATGTGAATGGTCTAAACACTCCAATTGAAAGTCAAAGACTGTCAGACTGTATGAAATTCAGAAATAAACCTCTGCAAGTGCCACTGTCCCTGGGGTATTTGATGTCCTGTGCAGTAGGAACATGAGGAAGAGGACCATGGAGGTCAGTGAGCACATGGGTGGCAGGGACAGCTGTTCCAGGTAGTGATGCTGGCCCTTTGCCCTCCCGAGGGAGCTACTTCTGTGCTGCAAAAGTCGCAGAGCATCAGCAAGACCATGTAGTGATTTATTCATATGTATTTGAGTAAGTACATAGGAAATGAGTCTAGACAGATAAAATCTAAATTCTTAATAGTGGTCTCTAATGTGACTCTGTATTTTATACACTTGTCTATGCTTTAAATTTTTTGCAGTGAGTATATATGACTTTTCTAATTGAAAAAAATATACATCTCCACTTTACCAAAAGAAAAAGTGAGTTCCTGCATTGCTTGTTCTCCCCAGAAATGAAAGACTGTGCTTGAGTTGTGTGGTGTCTGAATGTGTCCCCCCTTCATCCCTGAGCCTAGCACACACCTCTTCTTGGACACCTGTGGATTCAGTGCTGCGAGGCTCTAGCTGGGACAGATGGGCACCAGGTGTGAACTTTCTTCCCAGCTTACAGGTGCTATTTTTGGAACTAGCTGAGAATATGGAAATGACACCAAGAAAGGCAAACTCTCACTGAAGTCGCTGGACCCGCTAAGCTGATGGCTTGTGCAGAGCCAGCAGGAGGACACTTGGGTGAGAGTCACCTGAGAGTCCATGCCTCCCATGTCTGCTTGTCTTAGAGAATTCATTCTGACTCTGAACATAGCCAAAATGGAATCCAGGGACTGTGGACAAAGCACCCAGCGGAGGTTGTTAGAGGGCAGTGAAGCTGGGCAGCTGGGAAGAGCGGCCCCAGGCACCAGAGGCCTTCGTGGACCTGGCTTTGGCCTCTGCCTGGTGAAGCAAGTGTGGAGAATGTCCGTCCATTTTCATGTGTCCTGAGCTTGTGCCTTTACTGCTGGAGGCTGGGCTCTCTGCTGGCCTCCAGTCCCACCTCTTGCATTGGTGCAGCCATGAGGCTGAGCTCTGGCCACCCCTCTTGCTCACTCTCACCTGCTGGCCAGGTGCAAACAAAGTAGTGGAGAACTCCAGCAGGAGGTAGCCCAGTTCCTGGTTGGACGGATCTGACTCTTGACTGGCAACATGGGGCAGAGCCCCCACCCCTGCTTGCCAGCCTCAGACTAATTGAAAGTTTTGTTTCGTATTTAGCTGCTGCTTTTGTGGTCTGTGTGTTTGATTCCATAAATATGTACTCCTTACCAGACTCTGCTGTCTTCCCTGATCTACATCTGCACCAGTGAAATGCCATCTGATTTCTGCACCCTCACAGCACACTTCAAGATTCTCCTACTGTAGATTTGCAGTCAGTTGCATTTGAGGAATTTTTCCCCTGAACTTAGTTCCTGAAATTTAATATTCTTAACAAAATGAGTTTCTGTTCAGTGATTCTTGCTTCCATATTAATGAATTTATTTCCCATGGATGCAGAACTAAGAATTTGACCCCTAATTAGGCAGTATAGGTGAAAAACCACTCAGGTGCTAGGTGTAGAATGACAGATCCTATTTCTCCAGTAGAGACCGGGTTCTCAGGGTTATCAGAGAGTTTCTGAGTAGGTTCCCATCAGACCAGAGAGATTACAATTGAGAAAGATAAAATATATATTTAAAAATATGAAAGCTTATGGAAAGAGAGTCACAAGTTTCCTAGGTCCTGGAGTTCTTAGCCTAGGGTTTGAAGCTGGGAAAATGTACTTTATATATATATAGTGATAAAATCTATATATATATAGTGATAAAAAATATATATATAGTGATAAAATATATGTAACACGAAATTTATCATTTTAACCATTTTTTAATTGAAGCATAGTTGATTTACAGTATTGTGTTAGTTTCAGGTGTAATTTTAACCATTTTAAATGCAGCGTTCAGGGGCATTAAGCACATGCACACTGCTGTGTGACCATTGCCACCGTCTCCAGAACGTTTCATCTTCCCAAACTGAAACTCTGTTCTCATTAAAGGCTAACTCCTTGTCTCGCAACCTCCCCACCCCCAGCCCCTGTATGTGACTCAGAGGCTGCAGCTTGAAAACCATGCTGCTTTAACCTCCAGACTTGACCACTTCTCCTGGGTGACTCTGCCTCTTTTCCAGGCCAACCATGGTCACCAAGGCCATCAGGCACTTTGCCCCACCCCCACAGCTCCACTGCTGGAAGCTTCCATTTCTCTCTCCTGGTGATCCCATAAGCCCCCCACCCCTTGCGATGCCTCTGCTTTCCCTACGTTCCCAGCTCGCCATGAGGACTGTCCTGGTCCCCGCTCTCCTCAGAGAGCCTGCTCGCCTCAGACTCTGACGGGAGCTCCTGGGGCTCTGATCCAGAAGGCTGGTCCTGGGCTATGCCCACCGGATCCACCCCCGGGGACCCTGACCAGCCACTCAGACCCCCACCGCTTTCTGGGCTGAGGCCTGCCCTTTGTTTGCACACATCATTTGCTAATCCCCCTGGTCAGGCTTTTCTGGAAGCTTGACTTGGAAGACAACCTCAGGCCCAGTGGGCAGCCTCACAGACAGGCCCTTTGGAGAAGAGAGGAACCCAGGCCAGTGAGAGACAGCCCAGTGGCCTGGGAGGAGCAGAGAGACAGGTGGGTGGCCCCCTCCAGGGTGTCTCCTTCCAGGCGCTGGCCGGCCCAGCTCCCTGCGGGCCATTATTAAGCACCAGGCAGGCGGACGGGTGTGGGGTCGGTCTGTGCAGCATGGGGGAAGCTGCGCCTGGGGCCCAGGCCCACCCGTTAGCTCTGGCTCTGCAGGCCCCTACCCCAGTCACAGCTCTGCGCAGCGTCCAGAAAGCTGTTTGGTTCCACAGGGGCGCGCCCTAAGCGCGGCAGGCGGAGGTGGGTCCTGCCGCGACTTAGTGAAACCCTCAGGTCGGCTGGCCACAGAGGAGGGTGAGGGCAGAGGTTCCAGAACAGGCTGCTTCCAGCCTGCGGAATGTGAGGGCCTCCGCTGCCCTGCACCCGCCACCCCCAAAGACTAGAACATTCCCCAGGAACCCGCCAGGGCTTGGCCAGGCCCTGTTCAACCATCGCCCCTCTCTCCAAGGAGGCTTTCCCGCTGTGTCCTCAGGGGCCACCTCCTGGGTGTGGGCCCACCCCTGGGGGCACTGGCCGCTTTGGACGCAACTTGGGAGACAGAGAACACAGAGACTGCCCCACCCCACTGTGAGGGCGGCCTTTCCTGGGGGCCTCCTGCCTGGCCCACCCCCTCCTCCCTCTCCTTGGCACTTGGCACCTCCTTCAAAGAGAAGTCAGAAGCTATCTGATGAGATTCCTCAAAGGGGCCAGTGACCCTCCCCAGCCCCCTCTTTCCCTAACTAGCCAGATGGAAGACCCCGACCCCTGCCACTGCAGGGGCTGCTCACACTGCGCTCCCTGCATCCTCAGACTCTCATGGGAGAAAAAGAGGAAGGTGCTCTTTTAGCTTCTTGCACACAAATAGCCATGCTTTTTAAAAGTTATTGTATTTCTCTGAAGAAGGCATACAGATGGCCAACGGACACATAAAAAGATGCTCATTATGGCTAATTATTAGAGAAATGCAAGTCAAAACCACAATGGGATATCACCTCACAGTGGTCAGAATGGCCATCATCAAAAAGTCTGCAAATAACAAATGCTGGAAAGGGTGTGGGGAAAAGGGAACCCTCCTACCCTTTTAGTGGAAATGTAAACTGGTGCAGCCACTGTGGAAAACTGTATGGCGTTTCTCTAAAAAAAAAGAAAGAAAGAAAAGTAAAAATAGAACTGCCATATGATCCAGCAATCCCAGTCCTGGGCATAATCCAGAAAAGACAAAAACCCTAATTCAAACAGATACAAGCACCCCAGTGTTCGCAGCAGCACTACTCAATAGCAACGACATGGAAGCAACCTGCGTCCACCAACAGATGGCGGGATAAAAATGTGGGTGTTTATACACACCATGGAATGCTACCAGGTCATGAAAAAGAATGAAATGTTGCCATCTGCAGCAACGTGGATGGACCTGGAGATCATCATACTAAGTGAAGACCATCATGCTAAGTGAAGTAAGTCAGACAGAGAAAGACAAATATACATCACTGATATGTGGTATCTAAAGTATAATACGAATGAATCCATACAGAAAACAGACACACACATGGAAAACAAAATTTTTGTTCACCAAAGGAAAAAAGGTGGGGAAAGGGAAGGGATAAATTAGGATTTCAGGATTAACAGATACACATTAATACATATAAACTAGTGAGCAACAAGTATTTACTTCATGACACAGGGAACTGGGTTCAATATCTTGTAATAACCTATAATTGAAAATAATCTAAAAAATACAATTGTAACTGAATCACTTTGCTGTACACCTGAAACTAACACAATACTGTAAATCAACTACACTTCAGTTTTAAAGTTACTGTCTTAACACCTCTAGTGAGATATAATTCACATATATGAAGTACAATCCACCCATTTAATGTGTACAATTCAATGATTTTTAGTATATTTGAAGGGTTGTGCAACCATCACCACAATCTGATTAAATATCTGAAATAGATCTGGATATCTCTGCCCCCCAAGAGGAAACCCCTAAAGTACGGCACGGTCCCCCCTTCCCTCCTCCACTTCCTGTCTTTGGGGATTTGCCCACCTGGACCCGTCAGGTGAGTGGATTTCGACCCCCTGGGACCCGCTTCTCTCCCTGAGCACCGTGTTCCCGAGATGCATCTGCGTTGTGTGTGCGTCGGGGCTTCATTCCTCCTTTTGCCTGAATGTTGTTCCGTTGTATGGAGGGACCACTCTTTGTGGACGCATTTGTCTGCTGATGGAGATCTGGGCCGCCTTTTGACTATTGTTGACGGTGCTGCTGTGAACACTTGCGTGCATGCTCCTTGTGGACACGTGCTGTCACGCCCCTTGGTACACGTCCAGAGGTGGAGCTGGGGTGACATGGTGACTTCATGTTTAACTTTTTATAGGCACACTGGCTGCGCCATTTTAAGTTCCCGCCAGTGTGAGGACCCAACTCTGCCACACCCTTGCCCACGCTTGTTACCTTCTGTCTTTTCATTCCAGCCGTGGCAGTGGGTGTGAGGTGATCTGGTGGTTTTATCTGCATTCTCCTGATGACTAAGGTTGTTGGGCGTCTTTGCATACGTGGCTGTGTTTCACACACTTTCAGCAACCAGGGGTCCATAAGTCACTCGGCTAGGCCTCTGGGACGTTGGGGTGTTGGGCTGACTGGGACAGACAGTCCTGCCCCACAGAGCTTTGAGTCGGTGGGGGGCAGACGTGTAAACAAAGATACCTGCTAAGAACAGGGTCCTGGGACTTCACCCACAAAGTGACCCCGAGCCACAATCCAGCCAGGCTAAAGGACACTTGAGGCAGGGAAAGTCGCTGTGAGGTCTTCCTTCCGATCTTCCATAAAGTTAAAATCAAGATGCAAACGTTGGCTGTGTGTCGGGAGTTGGTCACAGAACATAACTCTTCTTAATCTTAAAGTTGACTGCAGACATGGCAATGATTCCGAGAGACGGCCGAGTCTCTCATCAGAGAGACGGATGATTCCAGGGCCCTGACGTTGATGGGAGTTTGGGCTGTGTGTGAGCTGCAGCCAGATTCCCCCCACCCCCCATTAGAGGGGTGACAACATCGCATAAAAACCACGGGCACAGAGAGTGAAGGGCGGGTACCAGCGGTTTGGAGCCTAGAGAATTGATGTCTCATGGGTGCAGAACGCCGGTTTGGGAAAATAAGAAAGTTGCATGGGTGGATGATGGTGATGGATGCACAACCACGTGAGTGTACTTAAAGCCACCGCACTGCGCACTTAAAACTGAAAATGGCAACTTTTATGTTGTGTGTTCTTGGCCACAATGATAATAAAAAAGGGCGTGCCAACTCTGGGCTCCAGCGCAATGAAAACAAAGCAAACAGTGGAGCGTCGCCGGGCGAGCTGCGGACGGCCTGAGCCCGAGGAGGTCCCCCCTGCCAGGGATAGCACCGCGCGCGCACCTCTTCGGCCCCGCGTTCC